TATCTAATCTAAATCTCCCCTCTTTCAGTTTAAAGCCATTGCCCCTTGTCCTATCACTACACGCCCTTGTCAAAAGCCCCTCTCCAGCTTTCCTGTAGCCCCTTTAGGTACTGGAAGGCTGCTGGAAAGTCTCCCTGGAGCCTTCTCTTCTCCAGGTTGAATAGCCCCAAGACCCTTTAGCTGCATCCTCCACCCATGCTGGAGCAATCCGTCCCCACCAGGGTCCCCAGCGTGGGGAGGTGGGGTGAAGAGCCGTCCAGCGCGGGAGCTAACATGAGGACTCCGCCATCGGGGTTTTTCTCATTCAGTCTCTGTGTTTCGCTGGGGCCAAGGCCGACCCAAAGAGGTGGGTTGAGAGGTGCAGGGTGCGACCCCAGCCTGCAGCAAAGCTCCTTGGAGAAGGCACCCAGCTGAGCGTGCAGCCATGCCGCGCCTGCGAAGCCTGTCTTCTGCTCTGCCCTCCCACCGCTTCCCAAATGCTCATCTTACCATGGCACAAGAGCCTCTCGGAGAGAGTCACCGTCATGCAGAATAGCTAGGCAAATCAAAACAGTCTCGTTCCTTTGATGACTTCCCTTTGCTCCGCAGCGAGCACTCCAGCAGATGTGGCTGGGGCACTCATGCACTAATCCATCATACTGAGGCTTTGCAACTCCAGGCTACGTTTTGGTCCCATCCCAAAACATCTTATGATAATCTCTGCGTCCTCCCAAGGTGCCAGGCAGCGTGTCCAGGTGGATGTGTTGGGCACATTCAGCCTTGTAAGACCAAACCACTGCTCACAGCAAGCAGACACCCCAGTGGGCAACCCAACCAAGGCGCTCGCTTGCCCGCGCTACTCATGTGTTTCCACACCAGATTCCCTGGGTGCAACCAAAGCCCATGACACACAGATGTGACTCTCTGCCCACGCATGTGCACAAACCTGCACACTCGTCAAAATACAGGCCCAGAAAATGCTGTCGGAGGAAACGTGGATGAGGAAGATTTCCCCAGCCGCCACCCAGAGGAAGATTTTTCCCAGCCTGGGCACCCGCGCTCGGGGCCGCATCCTTCCCCCTCTTTCCCTGGCCACTCTGCACCATGAGCTTTTCGCCCGGCCGGCACGTTGGCATAGCAGTGTGCCTCCTCCCACGCCAGCGGGTTATTGATGGCGACTCGAGAAGAGCTGCGGTTGCCAGCGCATGGTGGCAAAGGCACGTTTCCCGTTCACGTGGGATGTCCTGCGCCGCACGTACGGATGGAGCAACCAGCGGCTGCGTGTAGAGAGAGAGTTAGGAGGGGGAGATTGTGCTACTCCGACCTGCGGCCAGTGAAATATAGTAACGCATGTGAGTTGTTTCTACTCCCTGTCCAGTTTATTAGCTAATAAAATAAGCTCAGCTTATTAAACGCTGCTGGCATGGCTCATCAAAAGATGAGAGCAATGCAGAGAGACGTTTTTCCCCCGCAATCACCCAAATATGTGACTTCTCCACCCTTTTTATCCTCTAAGCTCTTCTGGAGGAGGGAAAACTAATCTCTTCCTCCAACACCACCGCCCGCCTTCAGACACCCGCTGCGCTGCCCGGCACGAAACGCCGTAAAATATCGTGTTCTTGAAAGAGGGGGGAAAACACACACACAGCCTCGGAGGTCACCCCGCCGGGGAGCAGCGAGGGGGGAACCCCACGGCTCCTTCTCCGTCCCACCCGACGAATCGCTGCCAGAGGTTCCCCTGCGAACGACGAAACGGAGGGCGTGGGAACAGCTCGCACCGGGTGGGCTTCGCCGGCCGCGGCTGTACGAAGGCAATCAGGGCAGGGATGAAGCACAGCAGCTGACCACATCAAACCAAAAACGTGAGGGATGTTTTTTGGGTGGCACGAGGTGACAGCCCTACTTGGGAGGTGGCTGGGGTGAACCCCGCTCCTGTAGCAAGAGCCCTGGGGTCTTCAGAGCCACCGATGTCTCCAGCCCGCACAGAGCTGGTGGGGTCGTTGGCTTTACCACTGTAAATTATTGACATGGGAAACGTTGAACCATAAAACTGCGGAAAAAGGAATTTTATGAGGGCGAAATGGAAACGCTCCTCGTGCCGGCCTTCGACGCAGCCTCGCGCTTCGGCTCTCGCCATAGTCCAGTCACTCGGTCTTGCGGGGAGAGGACGGGGGAGCAAAATCCTCCCCAGCTCGCACTCGAGATCTGTTATCTGGCTTTGCATGGCAGATTGAAGAGGGAGGTTATGCTCTGTGTTTGCAACTGAAAACGAAATGTGATAACATCTCCCGAGTGGAAAATTACAGAGGCTAAGGGCAAGTGAAGCCCGTAGCGGTATGAATTCGGCTCCTGACGGAGCCAAGGCTTGGTGCCTTGGGGTGCTGCCCTCACCTCCCCACAGTGGGCTAGGGGCTCCTCCCTCCTGAACTCAAAAATGTGGGGTTTAACCTATTCCTGCTTGAAACACATGCCAGGAGGAAACCATGACACGGTGGGCTCAGAAGGCAAAGATCAGTGCAGAACAGAAATACGGGAATTACGAAATCCAGTTGTCCAGAGGAGTTGTGGCTGCCCCATCCCTGGAAGTGTTCAAGGCCAGGTTGGATGAGGCTTTGAGCAACCTCGTGTAGTGGAAGGTGTCCCTGCCCATGGCAGGGGGGTTGGAACTAGATGATCTTCAAGGTCCCTTCCAACCCAAACCATTCTATGATTCCATGATTTGGAGGGCAAGGGGTTTTCTGCTTGGACGAAAGGATAAGCCTCCCTGTAGCACCCATGTTATGCCACGTGCTGCACACCCACCTTGGGAGGATGCTGAAGGGTTTTTAGCAAAGCAGAGAACACCGCCACCACGCTGGGGGGCCCTGTCTGCAGGGCCCTGCCAGGGACGGCACCGCTGCCTCTTACCTGGGTCATCTTGGCGAGGTCCAGCGAGGGCCGTTGCTCCTGAACCTCCTCTGGTCTCCGTCGCTTGACCCCGACCTTTTTGTCGTTCAGGACGCAGGGCTGCGAGCGGCTTCGGGACAGCCCAC